ACACTATAAATAGCAACAAATCACTAATATAAATTAAGATTATAGCATGTAAGACCAGGTACCCTGTTATTAGTAATTTTTTTCTTAAAAAAATACCTAGTTGGAAATCTAACCTTCACCTAAAACTTATCACGCTATACCAATATTTGATACTTGTTTGATATCACTTTGTCACGAATATTATTGCTAGTAGATATGTTATTCAACTGTTTATGGGATTATTCATTTTTAACAGTTATGAATAAAAAGTACCCATATCTAATAGTACCAATGACAGTTCATTGACATTTACTCCAATATGTTAAATACTTTGTTAATCTTTTCAATTAGCAATGGATAGACTAGTATTTGTTTAATATATTTAAAATAAATTTCTGCTTTTCTGTTGTATCAATTATATGTTACTTACTTATAGCTTTTTATATATTTAAATGCATATGATAGTGAAATAACTAACTGACCAATATCTATGTATAATGACCACTTATTTTCCTGTGTTTGATAATTTATTCAGAACTGTAATAATTCTCACTCAAGTCACAAAAATTGTATTTGATGAAGTTATATCTATGTATTACTTTTCCACAATTTTTTTTACAAATTGGCATGCATCCAGGAGTCACAGATGATTTTGTACAACAACAAATTTCCGTATTTTAAATCTAACACCTTATTATATATTATATTTAAATAAATTTAGGGGAAAAAAACAGAATTTTAAAGATTTAATGATGCCTATCTCTCGAGTACTAATCTTACACAAAGAGAAATTATGTAACACTTCCAATTGTACACAAGGATCCTCCAAATTGTTTGTAAAATGATGATATGAACAATTTATGCAAATAAATACCCTACATTTGGAGTAAGAATTTTATGCTGTTTGTAAATTAAATTCTGTAAATTATCAAATTGAATTTTGTACAAAATTAGGCAATTATTGCACAAAAATGCATATTTTGTAGTCAAATTATTATGCGATCTTTAAAACAGATTGCAATATTAATAATTTGTGCAAAAAGAATTTGTTGAAGATAGTTACACAATATTTTTCATTCGATTTTTTACGTACAATTTGTTCAATTTTCTTAAAAATGTTTTATTTTTTTGATACACATTCTAGAACGCTTTCTCTAAAACTGAAGTTGGATGGATTTGTATTAAATAAAATAATACTATAATCATCGTTTTTATTACATCACCAACACATTTATAAATAAACACTAAATCTAGCGTGTTTCCGTTTTATTTCATAAAAAAAAAACTTACAAATACATCCATTGTATTCTAACTACGTATTTTTCGAGCTATAAGAAAAATTGAATTTTTCTAAAACTTATCACATTAACTAGAAACTAATTTAGCTATTCAATTGACAAAATTGAAAATAGAGTCGCAAAAGTGCCAGCTATTTATCCATATATGCGGTAATTGGCAAAATTGAAAATATTATTTTCAGTTTTAAAATCTTTACTAATTAACCATAAACCTACTCGTTAACTAACGAATAGCGGATTAATATGTTCTCTGTTATGTCAGTATAATCATAACTTGTCATTTGTATAGAGTGTCCGGAAAGGTCATGTCAAAAATGAAGGGGTATACAAGGGAGCTCAAAATAGTTGTAGTACTTCATATTTTTTTCCTATCGGGCTTCGTTGTGGAGTTATTCGCCTTCAAAAAAGAAGTTTGAAAACAAATTCCCGTTATAATTTCAAAGTCAAGTCGTTGTAGTACTACAACTATTTTGAGCTCATCTGTATACCCCTACATAAAATATATTTTTCAGCACTTACCAATCTTTTACTGTGTATGTTTTACGAGCACATTCTAATAAAACAGTTTTCAACAAACTTCAAAACAGTTTGAATAAAACCTAACCGGATGTAAAAAATGTAAACCGTTAGCGAAATTTCCATACGAAATCGCGAGACAACAACTGAAACCGAGCTGAAAACGTAATGAAGAAACTTTGGTTTTAAGAATTAGGCCATTATGCAGGATATCTCTTAAAAGTTTAATTTTTAGGTGATACGAACCGCGTCGCAGTCGATGGTTTCGCCCTGAAAAAACTTGCAAAATGTATCTCCTGAGAGATCTTCGGGACACCGTAGAAATGTAGGATATAAATGTTTAAATTTGCTGGAGAACTTTAACACTTCCACCGTTATTAAATATTTTACAAACGGGACTATTTCACAGAAGTCGTATCTACATATTCATTAGATACTTTATGTAAAAAATTAATAATAATTAGAAAATAATCTGAATTGAACAATATTTACATTAATTAATAAGTGCGAAATCGTTAAGAAAAAAAGCAGTGCTCTTTTTCTTAGCAATATAAAAAACAAAACTAACCTTCGAATAGCTTTCTATTAAAATCATTTTTTTTAAGTTTGGTATTGCGTTACTGACAAAACAGGTTAACCTCTATTTGGGTAGGTACAAGTTTTTGATATTAAAAATGTTTCGTTTATGTTTATTTATATATTTTTTAATCCGTGTTGTGAAAATTAATTATATATTTATATTAACTTACTAATTACAATTCTCTGCATTTTCTGTTGTAAAATGACATACAATTTATTCTAAAATCCAACAAAATAATTTGCAAAAGTAATATTTTTCGTCAATGTATTATTTCAACAAAGTAGACATAGTAAGAAAACAGCGTAGAAATTTAACTCAAGATACTGACTGACAGCTCTGGCTACCTACTAAAATGTAGAATTACTGAGATTTTATAAGAAATGTCCATTAGTCTTTGTAATGTTGCCATTTGCCATTTGCCAATGTTGTATAAGGAAAAATTTTTTACATTTGTAGACATCTAGCTAGGTAACAATAAAATGGTAATCTGCTTCGATAGAAGCGAATAGATCACGACTTTTTAAATTTTATACCTTTCGCACGAGTTCTCGCTAAAAAATATAACAATTAAACATAAAATTTACCATTTTATTTACACTAGGTACTATTTTTTGTATGGAAGTATTGTGTGTTCAGATTTTTTTATGTTGCAATTAATTATTGCACTGTATTTATCAGTTTTATGTTTAAAAAAAAAATATGCATTTTGAATAATCACATATTATATTTACTATGGTGCCATTTTAATTGTAATGTAGGTAAGTACATCAATAGGTAAATTTAAATATATATCCAAGTTTCTGGATATCTAAATATAAGCTATATTGTTTGTGTCTAAATAAACGTGAAATAGAAATAAATAAAAAATTAACAAAATCGTATTCTTTTTATGATTATTAATACATTTTTACGCCCAAGTAGGTACTTTATAGTGATGACAGTAGATCAAATGCTACTCTTTATTTTTTTCAGTATCGAAGAGAAAAAACGTTTTCATGTAATTTATTTTTATACTTAATAAAACGATATTACTTAAGATACTTTATCTTAACAACTAATTACGAAAATATGCAGTGATATAAAGTTCGTACAGTGCATCATCATATCCTTATGACGAGAAATTTCATAATTTACTATTTAAAGATTATATGTTAAGTTGGAAAAAATTTGTATTTTTAATGGTTTAATGTAGAAATATTTGACTCATTAGGGTAGAAGGAAATGTAAGTTTTATTTCCTTAGATTATTTGCACTTTATTTGTATACACAAAGACAACAAGATTGAACTAGTTTTCTTCTATTTTCTGGATTATTATTAATGATTTTTTGGATCGATTATATTATATGAAATATTTGTTTGTATAAATCCAAATACAGAAATAAATAAATTTTATAACATATATTTAATTAATTAAATAAACGAAAGGTATTTTGTCTTGAAATTTACATTTACAATTCTTCAAGAAAGTGTATTAATAATACCAAAAATGTTGTTGGATCAGGTTAATTTGATGTAAACATAAAATTTAAAAAACAAAGACGTCGGTGAAAGCCAGTTCATAAAAATAAAAAGAAAGTAATCCGGCTCGCGACCTCAAATTATTATTTAAAATCACTTGAAACCTGTTTTTAAATCATTATATTCCACTGTTGTACACATTTTACAGAGCGTCAGTTTAAGAACAATCTGCTATGGTGCAGCAGATTTCAGTTCTGTAAAGAGGTTAATGAAAGTAAGATAAAGCAAAATATTCAGCAGTCATTCACCTAACGCTTACCTGTGTTTCTTTTAGTAACCAAGTGCAAGAAAATAAATGAAGAGCGCATTAAAAATTTGGTTCGTTAAGATGGATAAGCACATTTCATTCTTTTATTCAACATTTTATAAAATAGAAATGCTAAAACTTTAGTTTTTATTCGCTTTGTTTTTTCGGGAGTGACTTCATAGTCTAGCACAATGTTGTGCTCGACTTTCAATATATCTCTCTCTCTAAGGATTTTATTCGATATTATACATATATGTTAGTTCAATGTAACTTATGATTTTACTAAAAGCTTTGAATGTATAAATTGGAAAATGACAGTTTCTGCGTCAATTATATATCGACATAAATAAGTTTACGACTGAGATACCTCCGCCCATAAGTGCACATTGGACAAAGCAAGGGACTGACTGACTAAGTCATAAACGCAAACTTATTTGGTTGCTCTGTACTTACTACTCTCGTCTACTAGTTTAGTTCCCATACTCAAATATTCAGCTTAGCTATTTCCTTAAAGTCAATATTTTGAGTACCTGTTATGACTTGGTTACTCAAAACACTACTAAATGCTCTCTAGTTATACATAGCATTATCCTGTATAATATTTAGATGTGCTTGACGTTTGTTTTTCATTATCGTTTTTTTTCCTATCCTCCTAAGTGGATGCTATAGAGGGCCCTGAAACATTGCGGCCAATACTGATCTTTTGTGTTTCTCACTTCTCAACACGCAAATTTATTATCTCTGCAAAATCCACTGAATCTTAGGTGTACAGAGCCTGGACATTTATCTAGCATTTCAATTGTTTCCTTCTGTCTATAATTAATTTCCCTAGAAATTGACGTGAATATTTCTGTGTTGCAGTTTGGATCGAGATCAGCCCTTCACCTTCCAATTGGGCGTAGGGCAAGTGATCAAGGGATGGGACCAAGGCCTACTTGACATGTGCGTGGGGGAGAAGAGGAAACTCATCATCCCACCCAGCCTGGGTTACGGTGACCGTGGAGCAGGCAATGTGATACCTGGAGGAGCGACTTTACATTTCGACGTTGAGCTGATCAACATCGGAGACTCTGCACCCACCACGAACGTCTTCAAGGAAATCGACGCGGACAAGGACAATCAGTTGAGCCGGGAAGAAGTAAGGGGTTTTGTAAATATTATTTCACATTTAGAACGTCCAGTCGTTTAAAGTGAAATAACCAAAAAGTAACAGTAAGATTGTATGGAACAAACATACTTTATTATATTCACTTCTTGATCCAAAGCCAATCCAAACAATTACTAAGCAGCATTTTAAATTGAATTTTTCCAAAATGACTTTCTGGACCAATACACAGGCCGAAAATGATTAAACTTAAAAAAAATATATGAGCTATGGGTTTCACATTTTAAAAATATTTTGCACTATATCGGATTGTTCATACAAGAGTATTTTGATTTTACCGAATAAGATCTATTTGCTTATCATTCTAATGTAAAGTTTTGGATGTCTGTGTTAGATCAATCATACTTCCTGTACCAGTTTATTTTTATAAAGATTACCAGGCTGTTATAGGTTACACTTAAAACTATATCCTCATAGTTCTGACACTCGCTTGTGTCTTCTTTTTTACATATTGGACAGATGATCACTTCTGTCCATTCTTTTAGCAGTTCTTCCTCTTCCCGAACCCCAATTTTGAAAACTATTCAATTCTGCCTCAGGTACCTTTCTTCGTATATATAATAGACATATTAATTTACTATTATTTAAATGAATGAGGTTTCATTTGATTTAGTTTTTTTTTTGTTCCATGTATTTCTTCTTTATTTTGTATTTGCTTTATTTTGGGCTGGACTGCTGTTTTGCAATTTATTAATTCACTTTGTTCTAGGTCAGCGAGTACCTGAAAAAACAGATGGTGGCCGCAGAAGGTGAATCTCCTAGCGAGGAAGTTAAAAATATGTTAGCAGACCACGATAAGCTGGTCGAAGAGATCTTCCAGCACGAAGACAAAGACAAAAATGGATTCATCTCCCACGACGAATTCTCTGGACCTAAACATGACGAGTTATAAGAATTGACTGATAGTTTTAGGTTAACCGGTCTTTCCAATGAAACTAAAAGTAATTAAAAAGACTCTTAAAATCTTTTTTACAATTTTTTATAGCTAAAGAGAAAATATAACTTTAAGTACTTACCTCTGTTGCATGGGTTGTGAATTATTTTTTGTATTTAACAAACAGTTTTACATATCAGGATGTTATATATAATTTGTTGCCACTTCACAAGGTAGCAACATTTTGAAGCTATGGAAACAAACCTAGGAAACGATGTCTTATTGTTATAAACATTTATTTAACTTATTGCACAGCTCAGATTATTGATATATTTAATTACATGTATCTATGTACATATGCATTCCCATTAGTTAATTTAATTAAATGTAGTTCATATTTAGTTAAGTTCGTTCCCAGAACTTTTTTTATCTTGTTCAATTTTGCTATAGGATATGTTACATTACTTATATATTTTTTTATTTTAAATATCATAGATATATGTTGTTGTATGAGTAAAACAGTTATAATAAAGGTTTTCTAAAAAATTTTTCTACCAATATTTTTTTTTTGCTGAATGACCACCATCTAGCCATCAATGAACATGTCAATACTCTGAAGCCTAATACCCCAGCAACATATTGAATTATTTACACCCCCAATATCTAGTAAACAGTTAGGATCATTCAGCAGCCGAACCACCATACATATACCACATTATACCATAAGTGGGACATATATTTTACTGGTAGGTATATTCAGTGTTGCTCCAGGTACTAATCCGCAGAGTAGTTATTCCTGCAATATCAGTGCAGACAATGTTTCGCCTGGTAGTGACAAAATTCATATTTTCATAGTACCTATGAAATAATGGTTGCTCTCTGCCAGTTTGAACGAGAAGAAGGCCTGGTATTGAATAGCAGCATTCATAGATGTAGCATGTTGTTCATACCTACAGTGTCAGTTTTAAAAAAAAATCATTAATTTCACCGCAATAACAATAATTTAATAAGTGTGACACACATCGTTTTGGTTCTAGTGACTTAACATTGTTCTAGTGACATAACCTCCTCTAATATTATTTGATGTATTAATTTTTTTGTCCTCTTTAATTTAAAGCCCTGTTTTTTAAACCTTAAAATGTTCTAAGCTTTTTGGGTACTCCATTAATAAAAATTTAAAATTAAGTGCTACCAGTCACTACTAAAATTTTTTCTATTGGGAACCAGAAATATGAACCTTAGGTCTGTTTTTATTATCTCCTTCATAAAGAGTTAAAGAGTGGAGGAAGATACAAAGCTTTTTGTCAAACAATCAAATACGCCTTCAACTCAAGACAATCTTATCCACTTAAACTCAAATTTTCAGTTTAATTTAAATTACCGAAATTACGAGACATATTGCAATAAACTGGTATTACACTAGTATTACACACAATGCTGTAAATTAAATTATTTAAAACCGCCCTTTAGAGTCCAATTAATCTTATATTTTTATGTAATTGCTTATTATTTCTGCCACATTGGAAAAACAAGAATTTTATGTAAATAAATAACCCTTACGCTAAAACCATCAATGAATAGGTAGATTTTATAAGTACAGGTTTGCCTTACCATAAGTACCTCATATTGCGGAAAACACCTACTCTGCGGACTAATGCCCAGACCAGCATAGAATTATCTCCACAGTATCTGTAAACAGCTAGGATCAACCGAACCACCAGATATATACCGGTTATCGAGCTTTAGCTCATCAGTGTGCCATAGGTGGCACAACAAACAAATGATCCAGTTATTTTTTGGTGTCTACAGTTTGGCCGTATTGAAGGCCCAGGCAATTGGTAACAGTTCTTTTATCCATGACAAGTTTTTAATGTGTCGACAAGGTCGACTAGAAACAATTCTCTACTTTTTCAGAGTTGGATAGTTGTAGTCAGGAAAAACTAAACTTATTGTTATAGACTTTGACTGATCCTTTTGGCGAATGGAGTTATATTTATGTATTTACCAATTAACTAAAAGAGTAATAAAAAATGCAACAAATAAATATTTACGAACAATACAATTCATTTTGATATAGTTATCAGTAATATTAAAGTAACAAAATCATACTGACTTCTGTCATTAAAGTAGAATCTCGAGTTTGCGAAGAACAATGTATTAGAAAATTTGTATTGGACTCCACATCATGACTATTCATTAACAAGAGTGAGTTTTGAATTTAATTAATTTTATTTAGATGTAGCTACATATTTGAAACTGCTACACATTAAAGAGAGAATACTCCTTGATGAAGACACATGGCGGATAAGTGTTCAACGGTATGGGAAGGGTGTGCTAAATATGCTAAAGATTCCTTAACAAACAAACTTGATATTTACGAAAAACTTATCAGATATCCCGACTATTGAAGCAAAGATAGTATAGAAGAATGGCGCAGCAACAGTGCTTGATAATTTTTGGTTCACACATTAATATTGACCTCTTGAACTCGAATCTAAAGGTGTTTTGTGGCGGTCGGATACCTTTTTACAGAAAATTACAAAACTATGGCAGAGGTATGTGTTAAATATGTACTTTGATGTAAATCTAACCTAAAACCTAACTCTAACTTAGCTTATCCTATTTAATCCAACATAACTTCATTTGATTATCAATTAGTCCGATTCCTGCTGTTCAAAATTGGTATTTAATAACCTTCTTTATATATTAATCTTTGAACTCACGGCATATGAGGAATGCAAGTATAATTTGTTTGAATTTTTTGATGTAGAAAACGAGGTGCATCTGAAATATTAGCAACATATTTCCTCTAGTTATAAACTTGTGTGAAACACAAAGCATTATAATAATAATAACTCTTTATTCATGTAAGCCTGTCACAGGATATGAAACGTCATAAATTATTCTTACATAAGACAAATCAGAGTTAGAAAAAAAGAAATACAGAACTATACATATACAATAAACATAAAAAAACAATTGTCGACAAGGAAAGAACGTAGTTTTTTTTGAATAGCCTAATATTTGTAAGATTTTTAATATGAAGGGGTAATTTATTGAAAATTGTTCCACATAAGTAAAGCGGCCCCTTCTGGTATGTTGTTAGGTTATGATTATTTAAATAAATTAGATTGTTTCCTCGTGTGTTATACGCGTGCTGTTTGAAAAATTCAGGATGGCTTTTAACAAATACGACTGCCTCATATATCAATATACAAGGTAAAGAAAAAATTTAATTTTGTATAAATGATGGTCGACAAGATTGTACCGGATTGAGAGATAAGATTAATCTTATAATTTTCATTTGGCAAACGAAACTTCTGTGAAATTCCGCGCTAGTACTCCAGTAAATTATTAAATATTTTAAATGGGTAAGTATATGCTAATGCAAAATAAATATTTAAAAGATAATGTTTATCCATTATATTTCTCAGATTCCTGATCCCATAAAAGGCAGTATTTAGTTTCTCTACCAGATGATTAATATGAGCCGACCAAATAAGCTTTGACGAGCAATGAAAAATCCTAAGAATGTTGTGTGTTGTACTGAGGGTTGCTTTCGCTGGACAGCAAGAATAAAACGCTCTCTCAACGGTAATAATAAACTATTTTATTGAAAACTAAATTGTGGAGAAAAAGTAATGTTGACGGTTTGAGAGTTTGCTGGAATGTCTGTGGTTGAAGTCGGTCGTAGGTAGCTTGGTAGTCGGTGGCAGAAGTCTCTGGTCCTGGCGCCACTCTGCAGGGGTCGGCTTCCGGAAACCCCACTTGCAACATGTGTACCCACAGTACTTTCTCAATCATTGTATTATTTAATGATACTACTACATTAGGGCATATTCGTCTTTTAGTGTGTCATTTGTAGTTTGAAGCAAGGAGGACAATGAAAAGGAAGACATGTAAGAGTTGCTTCAATTATGCTTCTGATATTTTTATTCATATACAAGATTTTTTGTTTTTACTATGTAACTAAACTATTAATATTTCCAAAGTTTCTCATTCTATGGAAGGAAATACAAATAAACATTCCGAATATAAATTTAGGTTTAGTTAAGTGAAGTTAGGACAGGTTAAGTTAAATCAGATCAGGTTAAGTTGAGTCAGGTCAAGTCAGTTCAGGTAGTGGGCAACCACCACCATATTAGACATTAAGAACGCATTTAACTCTGTAGCGTGGAAAGTGATCAAAACGGAGATGGAGTGATGGCAGATCCCACCATATCTGATGGCTATAATGAAGGATTACCTCCACGATAAATGGAATTGCCAGATGAGGAAAATTACGAGCAGAGTGACACGGGAATCAGTGTTGGAGCTTTCTTTATGGAAAGCTCTATATAACAAAATACCTACTTAGAACGGATTTGAGAGATGGGAATACGCTAATAGCATTCGCGGACGATTTAGTAATAATAAACATCACTAAGGAGGCAGAGAAGATTGAGAGTGAAGCATCGGTGCATCAGCATGATAAAGAAAAATTTGGATGGTGTAAGACAGGAGCTGGCTGTAGAAAAAACAGAAACGATAACTGCGGCGAGGAGACCATTCGCTGGAGATCAAAGATTCTGAGTGCCTAGGAGTTTGGTTAGACAAAGAAGATTTTTCAAACATCTAAAAGAAACTGTGGCAGGTGGAGAAGGTGGTTCATAATCTGGGTAGACTGATGGCAAGGATACAAGGTCCTGGAAGTAAGAAACGGCAATTGATTGCGACTTTGCCTCAGTCAGCGTTGATGTATGGTTCTGAGGTGTGGGGGGTGGCAATCCAATTTCAGAAGTAAGTATAGAAACGCAGTGATAAATATTCAGAGAAAGATATTGCTCACAGGAAATACGACAAGAGAAGTGGGAGAGCAGTGGTAAGGCGAGATGGACGAAGATACTGATACCTGAAATATCCGTTTGTTATGATAGGAAATGAGGGAAGATGTCCTATAGATTAACGCAGTACTTCTCGGGGCATGGTTGCTTTGGGACATATAGGAGGAGCATTGGAAGAATTGTGGGGATACTGAAGACACTCCAGAACATTTTATATTTCAATGCCCTAAATTTTCGCGTTGGAAAGGAAACTAGGTAGAGTGCTACAACCGCAAAACCTAGTTCAGATCATGCTGCGAAATGAATGGGAATTAGCAATTTATGGGAATTTATAAGTAGGTGGATACGGGGGATAATTTTAACGTGCCATACCAAGTACATACTTGTTTTAGTAGTTTTTTTATATTTACCTGTTTTATTTATTTATTTACTTTCTATTGGTTGTGGCTTTTACACTAGGCTACTCTTGTGGAATGAAACTGAAAATAAAAACAGGTACACATATTTTCTTTTAATGCATATTTTATTTAAACAATACTTAATTAATAACGTAAACACAGCAGTAATGAAAATGAAATAAAAAATCTTAAAATACATCGAAAGGCAGGTTGTAAACAGTCACATGAGTCTTATTTAGTTACAGCTACAAGAAAAGAAAATTGAATTGTGATAAAAGAAAATAAAAACTAATTCACTGAATAAAACCAAGACTAGTAGCCATTTTGGGAAAGGCACAATAATTATAAATACAGTTAGACAGCTGTTCCTCATCCCTTACAAATGAAAATAAATAAACCTAATACTAGTATCTACTCAACTTAAAACGTACGCATATAAATAGTAAAAAAAAAAACAACAAGATGAGTGAGCAGCCATAAATTTATCACATAATAGTCAGTATACAATTTTACATCTTTGAGATGTAGAAGTGGTTTAATAAATAACTTAGTTATTGCAGGACACAGCACTGTTTGGCTTTAAATATCGTGTTAATATCCTTTAATATACGCTGACAGATGCTTCTTCTCTTCTTCAGATAGTCCATTTTTAAGTGTTCTGCGAACTGAAAAGAAAATTGAGACGTTACTTCTTATTCCAACACTGACTATGGCAGACTATGAAAGGAAAACAAAACGTGCAGTGCAGATAATAAAAAATATCGACATGCTACCTCAAATTAAGCTTGGAAAACGTGCTAGCTCAGATCTTTAAGTAAAAACATGCCATCTCACACAAAAATAAGTTTGACTAGAAAAAGTTGGCTGCATCGACGTTTTTTTGAAATAACAAATTATAAAAAATAGTGTATACCTTAATATATAAAAATGTTTATTATTACTAAAAATTATTCGATTTTTTTCATACAAGCTTGCTTTGATAAAAAAATTAATAGCGCATTCTTGTCTGATACTACACTACTCTTGATAAACTTTTTTTTTCACAAAATCTGGGATGCACAATTTACTCTGAAAATTATTTTATATACCTAATGCGGACTCTAAGGAGTTTGCAACAAAAAGGATTATATAGTGGACCAGGCTAGGCCCCAAACTCCGGGTCCGAATCGTTCATGCTACCTCAATAAAGACAAATGGTTTCTTAAAGGTACGGTAGTCGCGTGCTTTTGCATAGACTTTGAAATGAAATGCAGGTATGCGACACTTTTATTACCGGTACTTTATGATCTGCTGGGTATCGATGAGACGGGCGCATATGATATGCACATGCACGTTTCCGCGGTTCCCCATGCACACATGTTTATCGCATTCAACTTTATACATTATATTTATATTCTGGTTATTATGTTAACCCTATTAATGAAATTTTATGAATATTCCTTAATTTTTTAAAAATATATTATATAAGTTTATGATAAGTGCACGGTTTCAATCATTCAATGTGCATTTCAACGCCTATGCAGCCAATTTAAATTTCTATTTAAACTTACTTTTGTGTGAGATAGCAAGTACAATTTTTGATAGCATGTTTTCCAAGCTAATATCACGTTTTCTTAGTAACGCGTCGATATATCAAATACAAGCAATCTGCATATGAAAACCTTGTGGATATTTTTCAGTATGTGTATAAATTACTTGCTAGTGTCACATGTAGGAATGTATTTAACCAAAAGTGCAGTGGTGCACATGCATATATTAGAATTAATCTGTCGAAAGTGTAGTTTTATGTAGTGCACTCTACAGCAGCAAGAAAATCCTACAGCCTGAATTTATTTAGTACCATAAATTCTTTTTCTTACTTTAGCTATTATTTAATACACATACACTGATTCAAATTTCAGATAGTATCTCTTTCATTATCATAGTCACGTACAATAATGTCAAAAGAAATTGTAAAACTATCAGGTGAATCTTAACACAGACCCAAAATAAAAATTATGCATGCACAAATTCAAACCATGCTCAATGGAGAAGCTATTTTCACTCAGGATATAGAACACATCCACATACCCTTTGTATAAATATGAATCTATGGAGAATCTCTGCTACCAAATGGATTGTTTTCCCTTGTTCGTGAACGTTTCACTATATACAACATAAACAACAAATAAATCTCAATATTGTTTAAACTACAATTACGAAATAAAATTCTCTAATCAACATATAAATCATATCAGTCACACACAAATTAGCACAATTTCTGGAAACTGCAATATGTTACACAGTGTACCTCAAAAGACCAGGGCGGATCAGTTTTGAGGTGGATGTGAGAGTAGGCAAGCAAGTTTTCTCTGGATTACTTTCAGTATAACTCACATAATAAAAGTGTAGATCCCTAGATCTGGGCGAGGTCCGGAACATTTTCAAAATTGCAAAAATGTTTAAAAAATTAAAAAAACTACTTTTTATCTGAGTTTTTTTACTTATATCCTGGAGTCTATGCATTTTGGAAGAATATTGAAGAGGAAAAAAATGTTTTAGAATTGAATTTTGCACAAATAATAAACTTTGTTTATAACAAGATATGTGCAAATTAGACAGTTGGCATTACGACATTCGAATTCCTTGGCTCGCAAGACATCGGGTTAAAAAAAGATCGAAATTGGTTCATTAGAAGCCGAGATAATGCAATTTTTTTCGTACCTTCGCATTTTGAACCTCCGAATTCAGTCTCGGAGCGAAAGCCCCCTCTCCCACTTTTCGTGTTTTGAGTCACTTTTCGCGCGTGCGAGCGACAGCATTTTCGATGATTTATCTATGTTGCCGATAACTTATGGATATGAAAATTTTTTTCAGCTTAGAACTCGGAAAAACGAAGCCACTGGATCAAAGGTTATTGCTAAATTGTTTATAAATTAACGGTAAATGCCGATAAACTTTGATCGCTTACATCTCGAGAACCAATAAACGGAATTTAACTTTAAAAAAAAGAAGCGTCTTTCCCAGTACTTTCAAGTTATAATTTTTGAAAAAAACTAAATTCAAATTGATAAATGTAATTTAATTGTTTAAAAATAAAAAAAAGAGTGTCAAATTTAACAATTTACTGTGGTCGTCCTAATCAACCGATTTCAATTTTTCAAAAACCATTTGAAAGGATGAGCGGTCTTTTCTATGTGAAAAAATTTTCAAGTATCTAGATGCTTTATTTGAGGCTGTGCAACATTTTGAAAATTCGAAAAATTTTTTTCAAATAATTATGTTGCGAAAATTATCTAACCGATTTTTAAAAAAATTGATGTTGTTTTATTATACTCTAAAATTTTTTTTACCAAAATTAGAATGCCTTCGGAGCAACTAAAATATTTTTAAAAAATTATCCAAAAACTTCCAATTTGCAACATTGGTAATAAATTTAAACATTTTTAACTTGCAGTATATTGTGCAAAATTCAATTATAAAACTTTTTTTCCTCTTCAATATTCTTCCAAATTGCATAGGTTCCAAGATATAAGTAAAAATTAAGATGAAATAGGTATTTTTTTAAAATGTTTTAAATATTTTTGCAATTTTGAAAATGTTCCGGACCTCGCCCAGATCTAGGGATCTACACTTTTATTATGTAAGTTGTACTGAAGGTATTCCAGCAAAAATTAGCTTGCCCCCTCTTACATCCCAGAAGTGGGATGTTTCAACAGATCTGCCCTTGTTTATATAATTCGATTGCCAAACTAGAGCGAGTTTTGGGGTCGAAATTTACACAAAATATTCAATAAATTAAGAGTGAATTCAGACTCATCACGATTTGGCAATTCAAGAATAGCGTGTTCTAAACTTGCATTTTCCCACCAAAACTAATTCAACGTTTTTCTTATCAAAGTGGATATGAGAAAGAAGAGATATTTTTGAAAGTTACTGCTAATACGTAATTTTCAAGTTATTGTACCTTAACAAGGAATTAGAATTAACCTGTAGTTCATTTGAAGTTTTTGTGTAAATTTTTACCAAAGAAGACTCTTTAGTAGTTTAGCAGTCAAATTAAAGGACAAAAGGACACCCTGTATCATTCACTATTTCATTTTTTTATAAAGGAAGTACTATTATATCAAATTTCCTTCCTTTTTACATTGCATGCTATCCCCTCTTCTTCTATTTTTAGACCTAACACTATAACCTAACTGCTGTTGCGTATATGTTTTGTTCTAATATAATACTTTTTATTATAAAAAGTATGTAAATAAATTTGTAAGGGAAGCAGAATCAACATATTGACAATGCTTCTAACACATCTCAGAACAGGTCAAGTTTCTAAAAATCACCATTTGATTGTAGATTTCTAACAGTTTATATGTCTAACCTAATTTTAAATAATTATTTCTAAAACATTAAGGAAAAGTTACACTCCACAAGAAACAAGGTAGAGACGTTCTGTGAAACTTAAAACATTAAGTTTGAAAAGAACTTTCTGAAGTATTAGATGCAAGTTATTTTCACTAATAAAGACTACGTGGAAATAGCTTTCAAAAAAGTTTAAAAATGTTTAATTGCTCTTTTAACATAAATAGATTCTAACTCAGACATAGTACGCCTTGGATTTTGTGAGATCAAGCTCATCTTAAAAAAATCCGGTTAAAATCGCCCAATAAATAAAGATTTTACAGGGTGGCTTTTTAAAAACAAATGGACAACATTATGTCTCTATTTAGCCCATATCTGATTTGTTTTCAAAATTTACTCTCCAATTCAATGATTTATTTTTGACTGAATGAAGGAACTGTACTTACGAGACTTCCTGTCGGCATGTCGGGTCCTCTTCCTTTCCCGGGGCGCCGTTCGCGTAGAGGATCCCTTGGTGGCAGTTTTAACCAAACTTTCGATTATTTCATCATCGCCATCGGTTAAATTGCCGTTAGCAGAATTCAAGAATGATCTGTTTCCGTCGCGGCGAGTTCTCCTCCAAGGTAACGTACCTTGCATACTTTCCACGTCAGAAATGTCACTCCCCAAAAGTTGCCTTAACTCCGCATCCGCGCGGTCTTCTTTTGACCTAAATTTCCCTATCTGTAACGTTTAAAAAAGATACACATCGGTTTTTACAGATTTTGATGAATTAAATAAATGGCAGACAAATATTTGGAAATGCAGGAAGTTTCCCCCTTGGCTGATTTGAAACCAAAAACCTTTAAACGATTTATCTCCTACTTTACTATCCCCTATTTGATAGAACTTTTGATGAACAGTCTTATTTTATCGAGTGGTAAGATGATTTCAGTTAAAATGACTAGCGAAAATGCCTCATTGTTCGAATAAAAAAGAAATAACTTTTTGTTTACAAACAATCAGCAAATTTGTACACTAATAAGATCTTTTGGTCTAAAATCCTTCAAGCACACCGTCTTGAGATTATAAGGTGGACTTAGAAAACACTCTTTGTAATTATTTGTGATAAATAAAATAAGGAAAACAAGAAAGATAATTTTCTACTCATATTAACATACATAATAAATTTGTTATAAAATAAATCATTACATGTTAAAACTGGTGCAGAATTTCCAATAAAACTTACGTCTGTTATCATTTTTCCTCTAGTTTTATTTCGTTCTCTATGATTAGCTTTCTTCTCCAACTGTTGCAGAACTCGTTCTCTCGTAGTTCTATATTCTAACGCAAACTCCGACACTACTCGACAAAATTCGTTAGGCTTCGTATCTGAGATTTGATGCAAGGGAATACCCAACCATAGCAGAAATTTGTGAAACCTAAAACAAGTGTATGCAATGGAATATGAAGCGACAAGTAAATATCTGATTTACCTATTAATTATCCTTCTGTGAATTATTCCTAAGAGTATGATCCTTTCTGCACAGTCGGACAGGAAGTCAGACATTTTCACCTTCATCATTGTTGACCCATCATGTTTCGCTATCAGTTTCAAATGATCCCAAGAGGCTTTGCAATCAGCTTCCAGTCTCTGGATATTTAAGGCAAGTTCGTCAAAGTCGATTTTGGAAGCTCTGGTTATAGCTCCAATCTAAAAGAATATATTTTATCGCATTTGTTGAATTTAGAAATGTTTTATTTCAGAAATTTCACTTGTATAATAAACGGTCAACATAACTAATTCTTAAATGTATTTCAGAGCTTCTCATGTCACTAGCAGCAAGATAGTAGATATTGACAGATACTTCCATTTATTTGATCTTATTTGTACAAAATTAAACAGTTTAACAGTTTAAAAGGGTCTATATATTTGCAAAACCCATGTTAAAGTGTTATATGGCAAACATGTTGATTTATTGCAACAGGCAAAGCTGGCCTAAGACATTAAACATTTAAGATATAAAGTTTACAATTTTATTCAATAGCTGACTACGTAATGCGCATTGCTATAAATAAAGAACTTACTTCTGAATAGAGATCTGTAGCTTCTGGAAACTTTTCCATCACAATATGGCAAAGATGGTGCAGCAGCGAATGCTTGTGAACAGTGTCTTTAACTTCAGGTACTTTGGCGAGATATTCAATTTGAAATCCTTTCACTTCGTTACCATTCAGGAAGTTGCCAACGGACAACAGGGTGCTTAAAATCCCTCTAAAAGTTTTATTTACACGCAGAACTTCGAAGCCCTGCTTGAGATCCATAAGTGGTTCAGCAATCTCCCTTTCCGAGTTCTCGAAATCCAGTTTAAATGCCCATAACTTTAATCTAGCAGGGAGTTCAGAGATTGACGCTAATGTGAGAAGGAACTGTTCGGCACTGCCTAGAGGCAGGTCTGGATTTGCTGCTTGCGCCTCTTGGATTTTAGTCCTTTCTTCTTCCGTGGGTAACATTGTGAGGAGTTTCTCAATGCCTTCTCTGTTCATAATGGTTGCGTCCATTTTTAATATCGCCGTTTTTATTGATCTTGGTGGAGGTAGTTTTGTCATTCCGATATTGATGGCATTGGATCTCTTCGGGTCTAGAACTATGATCTCCTTGTTTTTGTTCATCTCTTGCTGTTTCTGAAGAGAAAGAGTATAACCATTATGTTTGATAGCTAAGTCTAAATTACATTTATATATAGATATAGGTGAAGAAATGGAGCATCTAGAACCATGCTGTTTGCTACCATGCAAAGTGCAAATTTACTGTCAAACTATACGTGATATGCAAAGACATTTTATAGATGGAACTCAAATATTGTTAAAGTAGTAGATATCGTAATACCTGTTTAACATTCGATATTTTATTGATTAAAAAAGGTTTCAAGTGTCTAAGTGTTGCGTGAAATCAGTTATTTACTTAAACATTTTTAAAAGTACAGATTTACGTAGTCGTGTTACTGTAAAATTTAATTTTGTTCTTTTAACTCTAAAACTTGCACGTATTTAAAGACCAAACTAAATTATTTTTATATTTGATACTTATTTATTTTGATAAAACAGGATTGCCACGTGGCAGCCAAATTCCTGCTGAAAAACTACTCCCGATTCCCATCACGTTCCTCTATCTCCAGTGGTGTAAGTAGTAGAAGAAAATAAGAGGAAGATGCAGGAAAGGTGACCAAAAAGTAATAGGTACTATACATTGTGACTACGATAATAGACAACAGTAATGCACAATCCAAAATGCAAAAATAGTGCCATCACCGAGAAGTAAATAAACTCACCTCCTGAGGTCAGCACATGCCACGTGCGGATCACCAAAGAAAAAAGAAAATATATTTAAAATAAGCGTCCATCAAAAAGTAAATAAGGCATAATACCGGTAAAAGGCCATGGTTGTTTAGGCTGTTATGCCTTGACTTACGTACAGAGAACTTCCTGAGGATCTTTGACCTGTTCTTGTTGTTCTCGGTCTAAGGATATTGATTTCGATTGCTATTGTCCATTCGTTCTAAGGCTACTATGATGGAACCATTCCACAAATACCTACTGCATTTAGAATCATTGTACGGGACCAGCTAGACCACTAAGGAAGTTTTAGAGGACTGTCTAAGGAGTGATTCCTTCAGTAAGGGCCTTAGAGCCAGCAACAAGGACCGAAACCATTACCTGGTAGCAGTGTATATAGTATAGAGACTAACCAGCGAACAATGAGAGCAGGTCAAAGATTCCTAACTAAAGATAAGGAAATACACTTATGTCTGTAATTGACGGCAGGTACGTAGGTCGTGGCGTAACTTACCATGGTATTTTAAATAACAGCACGGGCCGTCAGTCTTAAAACCACTAAGACATAACACCATATAAAATAAGAATTGCTCTTACGGATACTTTATCTAGCTATACCTCCAACACCTCAAGAAATATTACATATTTTATACATTGTTCATAATGTTGCTTCTTACTCAGAAAACACATTTTAATTCATGATTTCTCTCTGAGCTAAGTTGTGAAATTATTTAATGAATTCTTTTCCACACTTTTCGTTTACACTTACCTTTGTGATCAAATCTTTAGCCCTAGATTCAAATAAGTGCTCCAGCTTCTGCGTGTCGACACAGACTGGAGTTAGTTCATCCCAAATTAACCCAGTCTTTAACTTAACTTGGCTAATCGGATCATCCCTCACTTCTTTCCAGAACAGCTTGACCGTTTTCTTGTTCTTCTTCATAGGAATTTTGGTATCTGAAGGCCTATTATACCTCTGTAGGTTCGTTCCAAACAGAGGAGGACACGGAGCTGGAGGTGCCAATCTATTTGACAAAGGTGGAGGTGGTGGCGCGCAACCACCCATGTCCTTTAGAGGAGGAGGTGGAGGTGGCACACCATTTGTAACAACTACCGGTGCTAATACATCTACTTCGTCTTCACTGCCCAGGTCTGTGAAGTCCATATCACATAAATTCAATGATCTGTTTAGGTTTGCGATAAGTTCCTCCCATCTCAGTTCGTTTTCCGATTTTTTTACCTCGATTTTTGGCATAGTTTCACTGGTTGGGCTTTTTAACATGTCCACTTTCGATTTGGACTTCGCTAGACCTTCTTTAGCTTTGGATATTAACCCCGACATATCGCCAATTCTATTCATTTTGTTTTCTTCCGATGGACTGTGCAAAATGTTCTGGTTGGCTAATTTCTGAGTTATGTCTTTGACGGTGTTTTCTCTTTTTAATTGCAAGAGAACGTTTCGATCGATCTCGTTCGTGTTTTCCGCTTCTTCTAAGTTTTCTTGGTTCTGTATCATCGAATAAATCCATGGCTGTTTGCTGAGGCTGTCTTCAGAATCTAGTTTATTAACGGCGTTTAGTAAAGGCGTCATGTCCTTCCTACTGCCGTTTCGATTCAATCCATTTCCATTCGCAATCCTCTGCTGGAGGGCGTTGGTATAGTTTCCTAAAAGTGAATTTAAGAGTTAAATTTGTAACTAAACTAAGAAAAATTCTACTATAATCAGTTTGGAGTGAAAATATACAAATGAAAACATAACACAACGATTATTTGAATTTTAGTGACATTTGCCCAGCTCTAAAATTCTAGAAAGCACCTACCGTTTTCGTTCTCATTATTTTCCGAGTTGTGAAGAGATCCTTTAAATAAAGCAGCAGATTCCTGTTCCTTCATAAAACTCCTTTGACGTTCTGCTCTTTCTCGTCGTCTTTTCAATGCAGGGGTGACGCCAGCGTCAATAGCTAAGCAAAGCTCAATTTAGAAACCAAAAAGCACACACTAATGTAAGAAGTCAACCCTACCTTTGCTACTATCCTTGTAACTTCCATTTAAATGTGAACTGTTCAGTCCAGTGGATTGCGAACTGGAAGACTCATCATCTTCATCTTCTTTATTAGTTTGGAGTATATTGTTGTTGTTGTTTCTATTCAAACCAGTATACACCGGAGTATTTCCAGTAGAATGTCTTCTACTTTTCCTCCGATCCGTCGATTCTACCACCGCTTTCCTGTTTCGAATCGTTTTTCTGACACTTTCGTCCAGATGTCTGATAGGAGTTCCATTGATTTCTTCTCCATCCTCATACTGCAAGACTGCTTCGTAGATTTGGAACTGTTGGAGAAGATCTAAGTCTGTTCCAGGTTTAGACATGTACCTCTGAATTATAGCTTCAAAGCCTTGTTCTTCTAGAGCATCTGTTTGATCGTAATAAGTGTCTTGGTCTGGTATTCCATTTAGAAGCTTGTTTATTAAGGTTGTAGCGTAAATAAGTAGCTCGGTATCAGCGGAATCGAAGTCTTTTAACAATTTCATTATATTGTGATAAGGAAAGACGCCCTGAGTGTAATCCACTGTGTGAATGGCTTTTATCAATAGCATACAGTTTGAATCCGTGTATTCAACAAATACCAGTAACAACTTTAAAGCAGTCTTCACCACTAATCTGAACTTTGAAGAAATCAAGCTATACAACCATTGTATAGTCTGGTTGTGTTCCATAACACCGTTCATGCCATCGACGTATAACATTACTTGTCCCAACGCTCTTAAAATGTAATTTTGATAATTTTGGTCGGCTTCTGAACCTACTTTTATTAGACATGATAGACCGTCGTTTTGGACGAATTCGTGAACTAGATCCTTGTCTTCCTGGAATATTTGCTTCAATGAGAATAATGCTCGACGAAGCTCTCGACCTTCGGACGTTAACAATTTTTCTATAAAAAAAAATAAAATTATTTATTTTAAAGACTAGTTTCTATACAGCTGGAGTAAGTAATTATTTACAATTATTATAAACAACTCCCTTTGCGATGATTTGAAGATGGAAATCGATATTAATAAATAATTCTCAACAACGTTGTCTTAAATCTAGCACGAAGTATTTTGCTAGTAATTGCGGAGTACGTTAATAATACTCGTATATAGAGTAACTCGTCAGTAAAGCAGTCAAGGTCGCGAAACAATACAGTTAAGATGAATCTCCACGAGTTTCATGAATTATCTGGAACTTAACCATTCTTATGCAAGTACTCAGGTATTAAAAGCGAACATCGATTTGAAATCTGAATAACGTACCTTGTTATTTAAGAAAATTATAGGTTCGATTCTGGAGCAACAGTGGGAGTTCAAAGTAAAAATGTTACAGGTTTTATTTGAGCTCTTGGTCACGCTCGAGTAAAAAAAGGTAAGTTTGTGCTCGACAATGTGTTCCAATCTAAAGTGACACGGTATCCAGTATAGCACTTTTAGGAAAAAAAATGTTGGAAAATAATTGAAAGTTCGTTGTTTAAAGTGTATAAATGTCATTAAAAATATATAAAAAGGATTAAACTTGATAATTCTTCAATACAGGTAAAGCAAAAGGTGATATAACAATAACTAAAATTAAAAAAATGAGGCAAGCGCTTTCGTCCTACATACATATTACAATCTATTCTCTATATGACCTCCTCTCATTTCAAGGCACATATCCAATCTTCGCCTGACTTATTTGTGGACTGCGTTGATTAACATTTCGACGTTTAACTCATTACAAGCGTTTGTGATTTTTTTCTTTCAAATGGCGAAGGTATTTTGTAAACCTTATTTATTAAAATCCTCCATAAAAAAAATCAAGGGATCTGGTGACTTTCCGGGCCACTGAATAAGTCGATTAAACCCAATTTTTCTGGAAAAGTAGGTACATTTACTCCAAAATGGCCTTGGTTTTGAACTGGATTTACAATGTGGGGATTTTTAATGGACCAGTAGTGTTCGTTGCACCTGTTTGGCAAACCATTACTGACAACCCGACTTTCGTTCTTCCAAAAAAACGTACCGAAAAAGGTTCTGATCAACAGTTTCTACATTTACTACAATTTGAGCTATAAAATTAAGTTTGTTTTCAATGTGTCGCTCAGGCAAATACTCTAAATTGCGATTTTGTACCCATAGGTCTTTGAAATTCGTTGAACGGCTGATTTATCCAAATTCAATTCCCAAGTCGCAAGGTAAACTCCAATCTTGTAAAAATTCTATAATCAGGAATGAAGTGCTCTGGATACCTTTCTCGATATAACTCTACAGCTCTTCTTGAATTTTTTTGTGACTCGCAGTAAATTAGCAACGTATCAACTATTTCTGAATGAGAAAACATTTCACAGGCAGAAAAGTTATACGTTTGACGTTCGTATTGAGTAATGACAAGTATTTCGTGATAGTTATGCACTTTAAACAACGAACATTCAATTATTTTCCAACGACTACTTGATCCTTCCACCATTAACGTGATGGTGGTATTTTTTTGAGATTCTTTAAGACGATATTGCTTGTAACTTTTAAACGGGAAATAATATTGAAAAAATTCTCTCATAAAAGTTTATTAGAAAAAAGAGGGGAAACAGGAAAAAATTTGGGTATGTTTCTGGGAAAAATATAATTGATGACGTCATTCTTCGTTTCTGTCAAATCTCAAAGATAATAGGTACTTTCGATTGAAAATGGAGCTTACCTCATCCCATTTAACACAACCTGTCTCAAATTTTATTCAAATTTTTTGTATTCTCACAGTAGGCCCATACTATCGAGATTGAGACACCCTGTACAAGCGATTAAGGACAATACGCAATATTACTCACCTATTATTGTGTGTACTCGGACAGAAAGTTGTGTTCTCAAAACTATGGAATTCTTTTTACTGAAACAAAGAAAATACTATTAATGCTAAGAAACAATTTGACGATCAAAAATTTCAGTGTAATATATACATATTAAATTAGAAGTATTTTTAAACTAAATTATTTTTAAGGAAGGAAACATATCCACAATAAAGTCGATGAATGATTTTCTGGTCATGAATGTTAAGTGATTAAATTTCCAATAGTTACGTATACAAGACTTTATCAAAGGAATAAGAAAAGTACAAACATAATACGACTACAGGTTTCCCACTGTCTTCACATATATGGTGAGTAGCTTTAGCTTATAAAACCAACCTAACTTAGTCTTAATCCTAAGCTAACTTTAAACCTGATCATGAAAGCCTTGTGACAACTTAGGACTAAGACGAATACCACGAGAAGTGTGCATCCGCAATAGTCTATCATTGAATGACCAATTGTTATTTTTATAAACGAAGTAAAAATAGTAGGATTAAGACTGAGGCTTAAGAAATTACGGCTAAGTTGGGATTAAGATTGTTTAGGCCTCCAAAAGTCCATTTAACAACATGTTAGTAAATTAGAAGGAACTTGACTTGAGGAAAAACCAGGTCGAAGCCAAGGTATAATATACAGATATTTCAATTTTAAGTGACCCGAAAAAGTTATTACATGTGCAGTAATTATTTATAGTAATTTTCTCTCTCCAAGAAGTTCCTTTTACGCGGAAGAAAAACAAAATAAAAATATTTAACGCAGGGATAACATCGGCTACGTCGAACATCTGTTAGGAAGAAAGCTTTCTAAGCACGACAGGCATGGCTAATGTGACTATACAAATTATGACAGAAGTAATTAATAACACAACAACTTTAAATATTATTATGTTTTTTATTTGTATCGATAGAAATATTCGTAATGACAAATGGACGTCACGAGAATCAAAATGTTCGCCGCATTCCTCTTCTTTGATATCATACTTAAAATTCCATTTGATACACTGTTATTTAGACAGTAAAAGTTGCGGAAAAAACGTTTGGAATATAAATTAGCTGGCTCGATTACTTTCATACAATGCAGCTATTATTCGGGACACCAAACGCTTTTTAATTTATAGAGTTATTGATCTTTTAATGTGTTTGGATGGTATAATGATAAACTGTATGCCATTATTTGCATATGTAATTTAAAACACCATTTAAATGAATGACCCCATCCTTCGTGAAACGATTACGAGTCGTTATTTTGTAGATGTCAAAGCACTATGAGTTATACAGGAACAAAGATAATAGTTATTTATTGTACAAGTGTTTTAAGTAGCATTTTATCCACGCAAGAATGTCTAAACGCGAGAACGTATTTCGAACATTTAATATTCTTAAGTGGATAAAAGGCAATTAAAACACGAATGCACTACTACGTTTTATCCATAATCACATCACAATCATATTTGTGAAGTCAGAATTATTGGAATTTAATAAAAAAATGCACGATTTGATATTTCTTACTAGTACTCAATGAAACGTGCTAGGTTTTGTTATACCTACTCGTTGCTATGGTACGTTGTTTAGTAAGAAAGTAATTATGTTTCTGTGGCCATTTTTGAAGAACCTCAATAAGCGATTTTCCACTTATTGCCAGCGAAATCCAGGGAACATTACGAAACAGTGTTCGCCGAATTTAACGAATGGGGAGAGAACGGAGAGTAATGACGATAAATAAAGAAGTCGTGCTATCGTATTTTTCAAATTTGAAGAAAAAATATGCAATTTCATCTATGTGGTCAGAGTATTCAATGTTGAAAGCTACTATAATACAAAAATATAGATATTGGAAAATATAACAAGCTCACTGCTTATTTGAAGAGTGAATCGAGAGGATACAAAGCAAAAAAGCTGCAGTGTTGGAAAGAGCACATATTGAAGATTTTTTTGCAAATGCTTTAGATAAAGAATATTTAATGATTAAGGTAATATCTCTTAACCTTTTACATGTTGTTAGGTATATAGTGAACTTTGAATTATTTTAGGTTGCACTAATAATGAGGGTTTCTGGTGCCTGTCGATGCTGCGAGAATTGACAAATTTGAAAATTAGTTGGACGTTGGAAATTACCTGCTTTTTTAAAACCTGACACCAAGACGGGCATTTCAAAAACATATACAACTATAGAAGAAGGATTTTATTTATTTTTTATTTAAGGACAAGGGACAAACACAGGCTTTATAGCCCAAAACAATGTCCACAAATTACTTAAAGCTAATTGAATATAAAAGTACAGAAATGATTATTATAATAAATAGAAAATGTTAATTTACAATAATAGTTCCCTTTAAAAATCTTTTAAAACTAATGAGCGAAATATGAAAAATATCTAGAGTACTACAGTATAAGTTAAAATGTCTGCATATTCTGTTTATAGGAGAATTTTGACCAGAATTAGTTCGATAAAAAGTCACATGAAACAGTGCATTTACTCTAAAATCATGTTGTGGTACATGTAAACTGATCAAAGCTAATAAATCTGGGGAATCGATAAAATCATTAAGAAGCTTATACAAAAATACTGTTTCGGCAATAATTCTTCGATTCTCCAATGAAATAATATGATAATGATTTCGTAACATCGTGCTACAATGAAAAGAATACACACCACTCTCCTTGTAGTGTAAATATCGCATAAATCTGTTCTGTATGGCCTCAAGTCGAGACTTATATATGGTATATTGAGGACTCCACACGATAGATGCAAAATTAATTATGCTGTGAACGTATGCAAAATATACAGACTTAATAGCAAAAATCGACCTAAAATTTTTGCAAACTCTGACGATGAAACCAAGCATTTTGTTGCTTTTTAAAGTTATATAATCAATATGTGAAGAAAAACTCAATTTCCTGTCAAATACAACCCCAAGATCTTTTATTTCTTCAACTTGATTTAAAATATTCTTATTAAAGTTATAATTATTAGAGTATATATTTTGGTTACGGGTAAAACAAATATAGAAGCATTTACTTAAATTTAATTGAAGCTTGTTCGATTTACAGTATTCAAAGAAAGAGTTTAAATCTTCCTGGTAGGCAATACAATTATCGGAATTATTTATTTGAGAGTAAATTTTCAAATCGTCTGCGTAGAGTAAAAATTTACAAAATTTGAAACAATGACGGATATCGTTGATATATATTAAAAATAGTAAAGGTCCCAAATGTGATCCCTGAGGAACACCTGACTTTGCAACGTAGGGGGGAGATTTGTAACCACTAATAGTTACCAATTGCGACCTGTTGAAAACATAAGAGGTAAGCCATCTCAGTAGGTTACCATGCACACCAATTTCAGACAATTTAGATATAAGTATATTATGATTAATTTTATCGAATGCTTTGCTAAAATCGGTATACACGGCATCCACCTGAATCTGGCTATCCATAGCACTTGTAATATATTGGGAGTATATTACTAAATTGGATTCGATAGATCTATGTGGAAAGAATCCATGTTGCTCAATAATTATAGACGATTTAACCGCGCTAAGTAAATGCTTATAACATATACGTTCAAAAATTTTACTAAGAATATTTAATTTACTAATTGGCCGATAGTTGGAAACTTCGTTTTTATCACCTTTTTTGTAAATAGGAATCACAAAAGCTTGCTTCCATGTGTCAGGAAAATCTCCTTCTTCAAGAGACTTGTTAAATAACAAAGTGAGAGGGTTACAAAGGGAATTTGCACATTTTTTACAAAAAATTGAGGGAATACCGTCAGGTCCGGCTCCTTTGTTTTCGTCCAGTTCAATTAAAGTATTTAATACTTCGTCTCTCGTTACAATTACATTGTTAATATTGTTGATATTATTGAAATTATTGATTTTAATAGGACACTGGTCATACGGTTCATAGACACTTTGAAAAAAATTGGCAAAATGCTTACAAATGTCTACACCATTGAAAATAAAATTATCGCCATGTTTAATAGAATTCGGAAAAGAACCACGACCTTTTTGAGAAGAAGCATACTGCCAAAATTTTTTTGTGTTTTTAGGTATCGAATCTTCTAAAGATTTTATATAATTAAAATAATCTTTACGTATAAGTTTCTTAGATCTATGCCTTAAAGTACAGAACAATCTATAATCAGATTCATTTCCATAAGTTTTCCATTTTTTATGAAATTTTATTTTTTCTTTAATAACATTAATAGTATTGTTTGAAAAGTAGAAAGGAAACTTCTTATTTACAATTTTCTTAGGAACATAATTAGTTATAGCATAATTAATTTTCTCGTAAAAAATAAATAAAGATTCATTTATATTTTTGTTCATAAAAAGATCATACCAATTGATAGTTTCTAAATAATTATTGATTGCAATGTTTCTAAATAATTATTGATTGCAATGTAATTTTGCGTGAATAAAATAAATATGCAGAAAATATATTTCTCTGCGCCCAATTCGCCTAACAAGACAGATTCTTTTTAAAATACATCAATCAAAAATGTACTTCTCAGCCTGTTGGAATCAACACATTGGCAATAGTTGTTTCATTCCTGAATATCTCAAATCCAGAAGCATATACTGGCCATTGTATGAGGCGCACTTCAAAAACTTGATTGTCAAATAAAGGCGTTGGATCTTACAACTATCAAACGGCATGGTGGATGGAAGAGCTCTTCCGAAGCAGAAAGTTATGTTCAGGAGTCTATATCTAACAAACTTGACATTTCAAGGAAAATTCAAGGAAAATATAGAAGACAGGAACAGATATCCGTAACATGTGCAAATACTTCACATATGTTATGCGCTCCGAAAAAGATGGTACCGATGTTACAAGGGTTGTTATTAACGGAAAGGAAGTTAAATGTAATAAAAATAAAAATAAAATAAAATAAATAAAAAATAAAAATTTGATTTATTATAGGTTTATTATTTTTTCATTATTCTACTAGTGAAATAAAGTAGCTTCTATCCACTAGTGGATAAAGCATCACTTTAGGCGGTTCATATGTGTAGATAAAAGTCCGATTATATTAT